AGCATCTAAAAGCCAGATTTCATGTAAAACTCCAAATTCCTGGCTTTCCCTGGCAGAGGAGAGGGTCTGGCGTGTCTGCAGGCTGGGCTCGGTGCTGCCTCTCCACGGGGCATCGCCAGCTGCGCCTTCATTTGTGTGACCTGTCTGACCACTGACGACAGTGGGAACAGAGCCCTTGCTCCCACGCACACGGTTTTCTGTTTACATTGGCTACCCACTCCCTGTGGCCCTCCCCCAGCGTCCATGAGAGGGAGAGGTTTGTTCTAGGGCCAGGAACCCTCTCACCTCCACCCACACGCCCCTGTTACTGACCAAGGCTGAAGCACATTGCCTGGTTCCATCATCTGGCTTCTCTGGGAGGCCCTGGTACTGGCAGAGCTCCTGCGCCGTGAGCGTGCCCAGCCTCCTCCACGCGGACGCTCACCTTAAGGTTGTCGGGCAGCTCCGCCCTGCCCGCGTACCCGGGGTTCATGGTGATGAAGACAGCGCAGGTTGGGTTGAGGGAGAGCTCCGTGCCTTCGAAGATGAACATCTTCAGCTTCCGCATAATGGCTTGCTGAATGCTGAGGATCTGCTGTGCCACCACCGACAGCACCTCCACCTGTAGGGAGAGGGGCTGGCTGACGGAGCCCTGCTCAGACCCGCCCACCCCACCCCCAGAGGGCCCCTCACTCAGCAAAGAAAGGCCAACCACCTGTGAACCAGACCTTCAAAATGAGAAGCATGTTTGGGGTTTTGGTAAAGAAAAAGTGTGTGTGTGTGTGTGTGTGTATGTGTGTGGTTTCCATAGCATTTCATCTTTCCCCCAATACCTAGCATAATGCCTAAGGCATAGTATGTACTTGGGCAGTGTTAATTGGTTCAAATGGAATGTTTGTATGTCCTGAACTCAATCCCCTAAGGCCGTGGTCAGCAAACTGCGGCTCGCAAGCCACATGCGGCTCTTTGGCCCCTTGAGTGTGGCTCTTCCTAAGCCTTAGGAGTACCCTAATTAAGTTAATAACAATGTACCTACCTATATAGTTTAAGTTTAAAAAATTTGGCTCTCAAAAGAAATTTCAATCGTTGTACTGTTGATATTTGGCTCTATTGACTAATGAGTTTGCCGACCACTGCCCTAAGGGAGCGGGAACGGGAGATAGAAACATCAATGATGAGAGAGAATCATCATCAACTGCCTCCTGCATGCCCCCTACTGGAGATGGAGTCTGAAACCTGGGCATGTGCCTTGACCAGGAATCGAACCGTGACCTGGTTCATAGATCGACGCTTAACCACTGAGCCACACTGGTCAGGCTACCCCCTCTTCTGTAATGCCTCTTTTGTGCCACTACTGTAATATCTATCACATTGAATTTGTTTCATTTAATTTTTATTTCCCTGTGTTAGAGTGTAAGAGTCTAGAGAGAAAAACCATTTCTTATTTTTGTATCATGAACACATGCAGAATATCTGATATAGTAGCTGCTCAATACATTGTTGAATGAGCTAGTGACAGACTCAATATGATGAGGTGCATATGTGTATAAAACAGGCATTGTATGTCCTTTAGGTCATTGAGTACCGACTCTATGCAAGAGGCTGTAGAGGAGACGTCAGACCTGTCCTTGAGGAGCTGAGGGACTAAAGAGAGGCCGGGCGTGCACAGCCGCTCTGTGGCCAGGAGCAGGGTTACCTCAATTCTATTGAACTCGTCAAAGCAGGCCCACGCTCCGGCCTGGGCCAGCCCTTTGAAGAACTTCCCCATGGCTTTATAATCCAGGCCGTCCGAGCAGTTGAAGACCACACACTAGAGAGGAGGGCGTGGGCACCATTCAGGATGGTCCCTGCACCGGGAACAGGGGTGGGCTCCTTGCTTCCTGCTCCACAGGAGCAGCTGGGCCCACTCTGCCTGTTACACTCCCCATCTCCCCCTTCACGCCCGCTTCCCAGGACAGGGGCCCAGAGAGGAACGGGGGGGGGGGGGGGGTCCGGGGGCGGGGGGGGGGGGCGGGACAGCATTTCCTGCCTGCTTGGCCAAAGCCTTGGCCAGATCTTTGGTGGTCTCTGTCTTGCCTGTCCCAGCCGGACCTTCTGGGGCTCCCCCAAGATTCAGCTTCAGAGCCCCCATCAGCGTCCTGAGGGGAAGAAGATAAGACCTCAGTGCTTGGCTCCTAAGACACTGGGAAGAAACTGCCTCTGGCTTACTTCGTGTTTTTTTTTTTAATATTTTATTGATTTTTTACAGAGAGGAAGGGAGAGGGATACAGAGTTAGAAACACCGATGAGAGAGAAACATCGATCAGCTGCCTCCTGCACAGCCCCTACTGGGGATGTGCCCACATCGAGGTTCATGCCCCCGACCGGAATCGAACCTGGGACCTTTCAGTCTGCAGGCCGACGCCCTATCCACTGAGCCAAACTGGTTAGAGCTGGCTTACTTCGTTTTGACTCATGCGAGTAGCTAAAGCTTCCACCGGTTATGCAACCACCATGGTGAATAATTCTGGGCAGCCCTGCAGCCTGCAGCCCAGAGTGGTGCCTGGGGCAGGGGTGGCGCCAGGAGCATTAGCTTGAGGGGAAGATTGAATGAGTAAATGAGTACACACAGATGTAAATGCATCAACTAAAAAAGCCTCAAACTCCGCATCCCAAAGACCAGCAAAGCTAGTGGGATGTGAAAATAAACATGCTTCTCCCCCTAGATTATGAACATTGAGTTCAGGATCTGATTTGACTCAGTTCCAAATCCTCAGACACTCACACAGGCCCAGCACGCGGTGCAGGGACGAGATACACGTTAGGAATAGCGGTGCTCACTGTGGTTCCTCAGCCCCTGCATGGCCGCTATGATGTCGGTTAACACACTGTCTGTAATAACCTAGTACCTCCCCACCGTTAACTGGGGGTTCCTGGAGGTCACGCCCCGGGCAGCAAGGTTAAGAAATGGCTGTGGAACCTGAGTGGAATAAACGAATGAACAAAGAGCATAGAAAACAAGTGACTGAGGCCTTTGAAAGGAGAAAGTACTCGAGTATTATCTTCATAAATTAAAAAAAAATCCACTGTAAAGGATATACAAAACCAAAATTAATCTAAACATCATGGACTCGACAAATCCACAATGTCCAGACTTCTAATGTTATGATCCCAAGGGAAGGGCCAAAGCACTTTCTGTGCTGAACTCAGAATGGCCACTCTGCCTCGTCGGCCACCCACTCAGAGCCTCTGGCCTGGGCCTCCGCCTGGCCCTGGCTCCCCCTGGCCTGGCCCTGGGCTCCCTCTGGCCCTGGGCTCCCCCTGGCCTGGCCCTGGGCTCCCTCTGGCCCTGGGCTCCCCCTGGCTCCCCCTGGCCTGGCCCTGGGCTCCCCCTGGCCCTGGGCTCCCCCTGGCCCTGGGCTCCCTCTGGCCCTGAGCTCCCCTGGCTCTGAGCTCCCTCTGGCCTGGGTTCACCTGGTACCATCTTGATTCTGCCACTGGGGAGCCCCGCTACTTAAGGACTGATCCGTTTTCAAGGGAGGCACCAGCCTCTGCTTGTGGCCTGACCACGTTAACCTGCATTAGGGCTCCTACTGGGTTCTTACTTCTGGCCTCGGCCTCATGTCCATGCCCCCCTCTGAGACCTGGTGTCTAAGGGCAAAATTCAAAACTCTGAGAAGCTGAAATGTGGAGGCGAAGGTAACCAACTGATGGTGCCCCAGCCCTTCCCCAGGTTTCCCTCCAGAGCTCTGCACTCGCCTGTAGCAGCGGTCGGTGAGGGGCGTGATCACCAGCCGGGGGCTGTTCCCCAGGTACTCGTAGCCGTACAGGGCCTCAGTGGTGATCATCTGCACCTGCACGTCCATCGCCTGCCAGTAGTAGCGCAGCTGGGAGATCCACTGGAAGTCATGCAGGTCGCACACTTTGTCCTCAGATAACTTGGCCACCACGTCCCGAGCTGTTGGGACACGGAAGCACACACGTGGAGAGCTATCCATCTGCGTCCTCCCATCTGCACCCGCGCCTCAGCGGGGGCGACGACGGTGTCCAGGCCACCCTCCCTCTTCAGACAATTTTAGGCGCAGCTGCCTTTCCTGCCCACCCCCACCTGGAGGCAGCCATGCCTTCCAGACACTGCACTTGGCTTCTCCCAAGGGGCCCAGAGAGACTCGGTGGCGGCGCTATTTGCCATCTGTCGGACTCCAAAACCACCCTGCCCCAGGCCAGACTCTGGCTCTGCCATTCACTGGCTATGTGACTGGGCAAATTACTCAACCTCTTTCCCCTCCAGCGCTGTAATCTGTAAAATGTGGATAACATAGTACTTATCTGATAGGGTTGTAATGAAGATTAAATGAAGATATCTATATATATAAAAGCTTAAGCAACATTTCAACCATTCGACCATTCGACCGGTAGCTATGACACGCACTGATCACCAGGGGGCAGATGCTCCGACTGGTAGGTTAGGTTGCTGGCTGTGGGTTAGCTTGCTGCTGGGGCCCTGTTGGCCCCAATCTGGTTCACCCACACTCAGGACCCAGAGAAGAGGGAGGAGGGAGCCTGATTCCTCATGGAATCGGCGTGGGTTAGCTTGCTGCGATATTAAAATATTTCTTCTAATTAATTTCCTTTCAATGTGCATGAATCCACACACTGGGCCACTAGTATGTGTATAAACACACATACACATACATATTCGTGTACTAAATATATGCATATTTATATATATTCACATCTATACAGATATAGGTAGACAGATGGAAAGAACAAAAAGGGAAAAAGAGAAATGAGCTGCTCCTGGCTTAGGAAAGCACAGTGTAAGCATTAGCTATTGTTCTCATTCCCAAACTTGTGGGGCTGACTCAGAGGACTGTGCGACATGTAGTTACCCCGAATGGTGTCTTATCCCCAACCGGAGCCTGTTGGCCCTGCCCCAGGCCTCTGGGACAGCCTAGAGGAACCCAAGCAGCTTGGCCTGACGGTAGGGGAGGGGCCCATGAGGCCACGGTTAGAAGCCTTCCTTACATCTGGGGCCTGAGAAACCAGCTGGGAGGGACATCTCTAGGTGTTCTCCTTTTTCTCAGAGGATGGGAGCCTCCTTTAACGCTTCACAGTGATGGGAGCCCTGAAGTTGAAGAGTGGGCAAGAGGTCGGTGGGAATCAGTCATTGCTTTTAGGTAATTCACAGGGCAAGAGCCACTGAGATCTGGGATGAGTACAGCAGCTCGAGGTTAGATCTCAGAAACACAGCTTTGCAAAGGGAAGCCCGCAGTCTCCTGCCTCACACAGGAGAAGCCTCTCTATTGCAGTAAACCCACCTGCACAGGAGGCCTGGAGGGAGGCCCCGCGCCAGCGCCCTCCTCCCAGGAGCTGGATTCCCAGCGAACGGTGTCCAGAGGATGGAGCTGAGGATGCCACGTGTGTGTGTGTGTGTGTGTTTGCACACATATGTGTGCATGCATGTGCGTGCATGTACGTGTGTGTGTATGACCCCAACCACTCTGGGTCCAGGGCGCCCTGCCCAGCAACCACACGGGCATGCATTACACCTACCAGCTGGATACGTGGCCAGAGGAAGTGGCATCTCCCTCCCGCTCCCGGGCTTCATGCTGGTCTATGCACATGACTTCAGGCGGAATGAGGGCAGCCTCAAGCAGACAAGGATGCCGTGAAATGCGAAATGCCGGCAGGAAGCTGGGTGTGGGAGTAAGAGGGACCCCGCTCCCAGGAGCCAGCCTAGTCCAGTGTGTCCTTGGTGACGATGAGTGAGGGTGTGGGTGGCTTATTTACATAAAGACCCCAGTCTCCTCTTCTTTTTAAGGAAGAGCAGAGGGCGCATGCCCCACCCCTCGCTCCTGCATCGCTGCCCATTCGCACGCTCCTGGGTTTGGGATCAGACAGACGTCGGTTCAAATGAGAAAAGAGCCCCCTCCCTGGGGCCTCGCTGTGAGCTCTGAGGCTCAGACCTCTCCGAGCCGGTGCTGAGCCTGTGACTTGCCTGGGAAAGTGAGCAAATGGGGGTCCAGCACGGAGCTTGGCCCCTGGGGAGCATTCAACAATGTTCGCTCTGGTCCGTGCAGGACGGGCTCCAGGGGCGGCTCAGAGACGCTGTGCCCGTGGCTCAGTGAGAGGCCCGCCCAGAAGCGCAGGCGCCTCTCCTCCCCAGCTGACCCTGGGAGCCTCTCCCCGCAAAGGAGGCAGGCGGGCTGCTCCCACCGCCCGGAGGCCGAGGCCGGGCGGGTGCTCACCGTGGACGTCGATGACTGTGAGGGCCCCGAGGGTGAGGCGAGCCCCGCTGCTCAGCTTCCCTCGCACCAGCTGGACGATCTGTGCGATCTGGTCATTGCTCTTCTTCAGGAAGTCCTGGCAGGGACACGGGAGGGGACAGCGTCACGCGGGGTTCTCCCTGGTGGCCTCGGGCAGCGTCGCCTGCCACACCCATGGCCCAGGCCAGGCTCCTGGGCGTCACCCCTCAGCCCCTCCCCTCAACTCCAGTCAGCGACCTCGAGCGGGTTCTACACGCGAGCGGCCAGGTACCGCGAGATCCGAGTTCACTGATATTGTGAGAGGAAACCACGGCGGAAACCACGGCGCCTGGACAGGGAGGACTTGGCTGAGGCGGGCATGAGGCGATGGGGATTGCACCAGTGTGTGCGTTTGCCAAAACCCAGGACTAGACACGAAAGGGTGAGCTCTACTGTGTACAAGTTACACAGTAAATCCGAGTTACCAAGAAAGCCCTGGGACATTTTGAGATGAAAGGAGACATGGGCGATGTGAAAACTAAGTGCCTATAGGCGTGTGAGCCTGGATGGACCGTGGACCAGAGGAACGCATGAGAGCAGGCCGCAGGGAGAGGGCCGCACTGTCTGCTCAGAGTCGGCGGCCGTTCGGGCCCTGTGCGTGGTCGTGGAAGATGTGTGTGGTGCATCTGGATGAAGGGCATCTGGGTTATTTGTATTACTTTTCAACATTATATGTACATCTGACACTACTTTCAAATAAAGACTGAAAAACCAAGAACGACTTTTAAAAAGGAAAAGGATGGCTGGTGGACATTCTGCCAGGTTGACCCTGGAGGCGGAGGCTGGTCGACGCCGGGATCCGGGCCCAGGACTGTCTGGGAGGGACTCGGAGCCGCTGCACTTGGCCCGCTCCGGGGAGCCCACCCCACACCCTCGGCCCACAGGCCCCACGGAGCCTGGCTCTGTGGTCTCCCGGGGTGGATGTCACACTGATGGTTTTATTTAGAAAACAGGCTCCTTTATGTCATTCACACCCAGGGGACCCCCCCCCCCATAGGCTCACACAGCTGCCTTACCGGCAGAGTCCTTTCCTCCAGGGCCTCAGACACCTCCTGGGTCCAGAAGATGGAGGAGACGCAGATGACCACCTGGCCCGGCCACTGCAGGACCCACTGGTCACGGGAGACCTGGGGGTCAGCGGGCACGTCATAGGTCCATCCACCCTGCGGTTTAACCCCCTCTAACAACACCCCCATCTCGCTCTGAACACCAACACGCCACAAGGCTTGGCACCTCTGGCATCACTGAGTTGTCTTCCTCCCAGAATTTTATGAAAAAGGAAAAAATCAGCCATGATTTCAGCGACTCTTAGCTTTTTGTTTCCTGCTCCTTTCGGGGACTCTCCCGGCTGTAACTGGGTGGTGCCCAGGACTCACAGCTGCTCTTCAGTGGCTGCTAACACTACGGGCTGCCCCCCGTTTTCTCAGTCACGGTGCCCCCACTCCTTTTTAACTAAATCAGGCCAACGCTGGCGGAGGCCGAACCTGCTTTTGTAAATGAAGGTGAACTGCACCACAGCCATGCGCACTGTTCACATGTCACCTCAAAGGCAAAGACAAAACGTGTGGTGGCCCTCGGAGCTGGCCATATTCACGAGCTGGTCCTTTACAGAAAGCTTGCTGGCGCTTGCTATGGAGGCACTTGCATGGAATAACTCCATACAGGCAGCAGGTTTTCTTTAATTTTAAAAAAATATGTATTTAATTGATCTCAGAGAGGAAGGGATCAATGATGAGAGAGAATCATTGACTGGCTGCCTCCTGCAGGCCTCATACTGGGGATGGAGCCACAACCCAGGCATGTACCTTGACGGGGAATCGAACCATGACGCCCTGGTTCATAGGTCAATGCTCAACCACTGAGCCGTCTGGCAGGGCTTTCTTTAATTTTTATTTAGAATATGTTACCGGCCAGGGGACCTGGCCCTGAGCGGTCTGCCTAGGACGGGCCTACAGTGTATGGGTTCTGGGCTTTGTGCAGGAAACATGTCACAACACGAGTCAGGTGACAAAGAGGGAACGTTGGTTCCGGCCAGGACAGTGAAGCAGGAGGGCTTAGCACAGCAGCAGCCACAGGAGAGCCGGGAAGTTGGAGAAAAGGGGGCTGAGACAGGGTCAGGGCTGGGCCTAGGATGAGCTACTGCTGCCCATGCTCCCCTGGCTGAAGTTTCCTGGGGTCTCTTAGAGTTTAGGGATGTGGCCCGTGGGGGAAGGACAGGGGGAGGGAATGGCACAGGCTGCTCCCCAGAGGGAGAGCCCAAGCTGGGTCTTCTGTCTTGAGGCTTTTCTCTCTCTAGTGGGAGGGGCCTGAGGGAGGTCTCAGGGGAGGTTCAGCAGAATATTCATCAGCTTTCCAGGTGGGCCCTCCAGGGTGTGGGCCCTCCAGGGCCCTGGTCTCCACCGATTGGTCAGGGCCAGGGCAGGGGGTGATCAGTCATTGCAGCTGGTCCTGGTGTTGCCCACCTGATTTTGCTGCTTTCCTGGACCTGGCTGTCATCTCTAGGGAGGGGACCTGTACCTGCTGTCATTGCTCTGCAGTTTGTTCAGCTGCCTGCCTCAGTTTCCCTGCTCCACTTCCGGCTCACAGGCCTGTCTGATGCAGCCTAAGAGGAAGGACTGGCCTTTCATCACCAGCAAATGCCATTGAGAGGACCAGCTGGCCAGCCCCTTACCTCAGTGGGAAGATGGTAATTGAATGTTCTTTTGTTTGTTTGTGAGGAAATGGCTGAAGAGTTAACTGGCTGAAAAGGTTCTTTTCCTTTAGCCTTCTCCCTCACTTGAGTCCCTTCAGCTTTGGGGCTCATGAGCTG